ACTGGTGATTCTAAATTGTCCGTAGGTGTGAATATGAGTGTGCTTGGTTGTCTGTCTCTAAGTGTAGCTCTGTGATAGACTGGTGACCTGTCCAGGGTGTCCCCTGCTTTCACCCTAAGTCAGCTGGGATAGACTCCAGCCCCCCGTGACCCTAGTGAGGATTAAGCGGTGTATAGATAATGGATGGATGGATGTCCAACTCAAAATAGTTTTACGAACTGTACACACAAAAGTGATCGAAAAAGGAGAAAATTATATCTTTTACTTTTTACTCCTCATTTTTTCTGGCTGTAGGTCTTCTTCTTTGATTAAAACACATGCAAAAGCCGTCAAACTGTGACAACATGGTGGAAACCAATATGCACAGATCCAAGGATACTGTCATTATTATCCCTTAATGAAAGTGATCTGTTGTACATCACCTTGCTGCTGTTGAAGATGGCTGAACATGCTGCTTTACTAGATTTGGGATTTTACGCTTTTTTGAGGGAAATCTGCAACACTTTGGGTGTGCACCTTTATCTATTTAGACAGAGAAACACTATAATCTTTTTTTTTTAAAGAAATGGGACAATGGATCTACACCATAAAATTTTATCTCCAAAAAATACGAAATCAAAAAAATTAACCAGTACATGTGAGTAGAGTCTTACAAAAAACAACAACACAGCTTTCTACGATTATCCAGCCCTCTCTGTAGTAAAGATCAAAAACTGCTGCTAATAAATCAAAACTGGAATACCTGAAATCGTTTGTTTCCTTATAATCATATATTGTGCTACTCGAAGGACAGAGCAACTCTAGATAAAGGTGACGATTTATGGGAAGCCATATCTGTAAAATCAGGAGATTCTCTGAATGTAAAATATTGTTAAAAGGCTGTTTAAAAAGTCAAAAATATCTCACTGGTGAGTGTTAATAGACTCCCAATGTATAAGTTTGATGCATTTTTTGACGTCCAGGCTAAATGACTTAACCTGCTGGTTTGCTAATGTGGGAGTCCTCTGTCACATTCATGGTTAGGTGCAAATGTTGGGTGTTTTATCTACAAAATCAAATCACATCAAGTTTATTATCATTTTGCTGTACATACACAGTAGTACAGGCAAGATGAAAAAGAGTTTCTTCAGGATCCATTAATTTAAAGCAATTTAAATAAGGAAGTGTTTGCATATCTAGATCAGCAGCTCAGCATTCTGACAGCCTGTGGAATGAAGCTGTTGATCATTCTGGAGGTTCTTCCTTTAGTGCTCCAGAAACGTTTGCCTGATGGTAGCAGTTCAAACAGTTTATGGAGAGGGTGTGAGAAGTCCCTGACAACATTCAGTGTCCTGGTCCTGCAACGGCTCTGGAAAAGTTCTTGGACAGAGGTGAGGGAAACTCTGATGACCCTCTCAGCTCCTCTAACTATCCTCTGCAGGGCTTTTCTGTCTGACAAACTGCAGCTGGAGTATCATGTTAAGATGCAGTATGTCAGAACGCTCTCCACCACACCTCTGGAAAATGTCCTGATAATGCTGGCAGGGAGAGAAGCTTGTTTCAGCCTCCTCAGGAAATATAGTCTCTGCTGGGACCGTTGGATGATCGCTGCGGTGTTCTTATTCCAGCTCAGGTCCTGTGAGATCTGCACTCTGAGGAACTTGATACTCTCCACTCTCTCCACTGTGCAGCCGCTGATGCTGAGGGGAGCACGCTCAGGACATGACCTCTGGAAGTTGATTATCTCCTTCGTTTTGTCCACGTTGAGCAGCAGGTTGTTCTTACTGCACCAGCCCTCTAGGTCAGCGGTCCCCAACCATCGGGCTACTGACCGGCACGTGGGTCATTTGGTACCGGGCCGCACAGAAGGAATAAAAACGTTTTACTGGTTTATTTTTATTTCCAGCTGAGTCTGCAGGGAGTTTCATTTTGAAAAATGACAAGCTCGTCTTCCCGCCACTTCCGTCTGTGCTTGTTTCCTGCACTTGACTGTCCGTTTTCATGCCCAGCCCAGAAAAATAAACCGTCAGTTTAACCACCGCCGAAATGAATAGAAAAACTAAGGTTTCAGGAGAACTTCTTTGAAAAGTGGGAGAGACTCAATGCCAAGACAGAAGAAAAAGTAAACACATATTTAGCAATAACAAGTAATTTTATTTGTTTATGACACTTCTTAATAGTTGAAACGATTATTTTTTATGTGCGAGATGACCGGTCCGTAGAACATTTTCTTGTTTAAAACCGGTACGTGGTGCAAAAAAGGTTGAAGAATGCTGCTCTAGGTGTTTCACTTCATCTCTCTACATTGATTCTTTGTTCCCGCAAATAAGTCCCACCACTGTGGTATCATCAGCCAATCGAGTCTCACGGCGATTCGTAAAATAGTCATGAAATTTTATCTATTGTTTCGTGTCCTGGAACACGATTTGCCCGACTTTTGACTGAGTGCAAGGTGGTGGATGTTGCTTCCTCTCTGTGGAGCATTTGGGAACTGAAGGGGGGTCAAGCGATGAAGGAAGGCTGGCTGTGATGTGTGGGTTGATGAGCACTTCATCACAATTGGTGTCAGTGTGATGGGGCGCACAAGCGATATGCATTGGTTGCGCGTACTGCGTATTGCTTGTGCACATTGTTAGCACGCATTGCATATTGCTTGTGCTTGAGTATTGCTTGCGCACATGCAAGCAATACAAATTGTTTGCATGTATTGTTTGCACTTGCAGGCCTGCATTGTTTGGGCATACTGCGTATTGTTTGGGCATACTGCATATTCTTTGTGCGTATTGTTTGAACTTACACGCGCGCATTGTTTGCGCAGACTGCGTATTGTTTGCACTTGTTTTCATTACGGAGAAAACCACCAGCAAATTGACAATAAGATCTGACTTGACAGCCGTATCTGCACTATATCAAATCAGTTTGCAGATTTATTCTCACGCCTTCTAACACTGACTGAATGTGATGTTCTTCCATGACATTTAAAGAATAGAGAAAACAAATTTTATTGTATTACACTTCTGTATCACGTGTCCATGCAGTGTGTGAATCATGTAGTAACACTATGTGGTTCCCAGAAGGTGCAGCATTAAAACCTTCACTTTCTAGACTTTGATTTTGTAATACGACACCGGGATAAGATCAATCCAATTTAGAAAGCATCTACATAATAACTTTACAAAACTAAATACATAACATAAAAAGGACTTCTACTGTTTTTCTTCTTTTATTTCCCTTTGTCTTGTCCTGGTTTTCTGCGTAACAGCATTTTCTATATGTTGCAATCTGTTGATGTGATGTAAAGCACATGGGAGAAGCACTCTTACAAATATAGTCATATATTCACAATGCTTAAAAAGAAAAACAAGTAAAAGTCTTATTTCAAAAGAATTACTTCTTGGATTGTAATTACTGATTGACTAGTGCATACTTGACTTTCATGTTAGTAAATGTTGGGCTGATTTTAATTATGTTATATACTGCTTGGTAAATTGTGAATTTTTCCCAAGAATCAAAAATGTATCTTAAAATAATACATAACTTATGAGTTAATCTATATCTGCAAAATATGTACCAGCTAAAATGATCTAATAAATAGTTGAATCAAAAGCATAAATATTTGCTCTGAACTATAACAAAAGTAAAATACAGTCGTAAGAAAAGCACGCCGGATATATTAGGTAAATTACAAATACTTATGTACTCCACGCTATCTTATGATATTGATGATAACCGGAAGAGAAAAATGCTTAAACTCAGTTATTTTACTGTAAGTTACTGAATGATGAACAAGACAAACCCTGATAACTTGACTCTTCAGATTCATGTGAGTTTCACTTACCTTAGAGGACAAACACTGACAGTGGTCAGCTATCAGAACAAATGTGACTTCACAAATGTGTGTCCAGGTATGCAGGGTGTGGTTCACGTGTGTTGTCATGCTCATTAAAAAAACGTCATATGCTGTCAGTCATATCCATTTCTTTAATTTTGGTTTTTGTGTTTGACATTTAGGGTTTTTTTTTTTTTTTTTGCATTGAAACTGAATCTAAACAACATAGGCCACTGGTTTTCAAAAGGAAAAAAAGGAGGTTGAGACTGAAATGAAACACTGACAAAATAAAGAAAGTTGCCTGCAGTTACAGCAGCTACTTAAAGAGTCTTGGAATAACGTGTCATATCCACTAGGCCGATTTTGGTCAGTCTACTTCCCACAAACTCATGTCTCCTCTATCCTTAGAGCTGAAATCATCAGCTCTCTTTCTCTGCTAAATGGACACAGCGTTCTTCTGCATGACTCGTCACAAGAGAATAATGAGCATGCAATGCTTTTTGCTTCAGTGACTCATTTCCAGTTCAAACTTTTCAGTGAAAGCCTCAAGTGACATCTCTAAGGGTGAACAAGGCTACCAGATCTACCAGAAACTAGCTTCACTTAAAAAAATTAATTCACAAAACAATGAGAACTTATCATGGAAAGTAACAGCCTGTCACTCACCCTGAGTCTATGCACTTCTCCTCCTTGGATTTTCTCTCTCGGTGTAACAAAAAAACAAACGAAACCCAAACCACACAGAGTGTGTTTTTTTTGTCTTGGAGATATTTGAACAGAACTTAGTGCAAAGTGATCTCTATGGGAACCATGCACAGCTGACCAGCGCTGCTCTGGCAACTTAAAGGTGAAAGTATAACAAAGATGAATAACCATCAAAGTCACTGCAGGTCTGCACGACAGTTCGCTGCAGTTTACAACAGGGTTTGGGCATCAAAGACTTGTCAAACTGTCATTGTCTCCCATAGTTCTCTTCTTTGTTATGATGTGGCTCTTCCTTTTAGTCCCACTTTCTTCAGAGCTGTCTTAGTCACCTGAAACAGTGATCCATCCATCCTTCCATTCATTCATTCATTCATTCATTCATTCATTCATTCATTCATTCATCCATCCATCCATCCATCCATCCATTCATTCATTCATTCATTCATTCATTCATTCATTCATTCATCCATCCATCCATCCATCCATCCATCCATCCATCCATCCATCCATCCATCCATCCGTTCTGTTTCAGTTTGCAACGCGTCTTTGCGTTTTCCTGACATCTTCTGCTCCCTTCAGCAGCATCACAGCTCCTAAGCGAAACAAGGCACCCCGTCCTTGCCTTTACCTCAGGGTGCACTAAAAGGCCACAGACAGTGCATCTGAAAGTCAGGTGCTCCTGGTCGCTTCCTGGTCTCTGACCCCTCGACCTTTAACCCTGGCTCATGGATGCAAAGGTTATCTAACCTTCAGAAAGTGGTAAAGAGAGGAAGGGGATGGAGTGGGAGACACAGACAGAGGAGAGGGGAGAAAATGGGATCAATTTAATTGCACTTTACTTATTAATTCAAATGTCAACGACAGGAACAGAAAAATAATATACTGTGAATGAACAAAAAACCTAAAACAGACATGTCAGTTGCTCCATCTGATCTCATAAACAATGACAACAGCTCCACAGGTCTGCAAACAAATGCAGAGATGAGGTGAGACCGCCACTGCCATTATGGAGCTTCATGCATTTAGCATGCTTTGAATACCTTGACGGGATTAGGAGGTAATCCGGTTCGGAAGATTACATTTTGCTTTTCAGCTCTCGCCAGTTTCATTTGATGTGTTTTGTGTTTTACATGAGGAATTGCTACTCTACCCAAACATTTTGCTTTTGTTGTTAGCTTTGTATTGTTTATCTTAGGGATTAAAGCTGCAGTAGGCATAAATCTGAAAAAGGCAGAAAAAAAGAAAAAAGAAATTTTAAATTAAAAATACAGCCCTCCTCTTGCAGCTCTTCTATCTCTTCTCTCTGTCCTAAGCCCCTCCCACCAGACAAACACAGGCACCTACACACATTTCAAACAGTCAATGTCAAAGTCAACATTCATGTGTGGCTTCAAACAAGATTCCAACACAGAAAGCCCACTGTTGATCCCAGTGCACCATCATGTCCTGTGCCCACTAAGGACTCTGTTGCTCTTTATACACTCTTACCTGATCTGGGTGAAAAGTCCTATAATTAAGTTTCAAGCTTGTTTTTTTGTTTGTTTTTTTTAATGCCTGAAAATTGAGACAAGAGGAGGTGCAGAAATCTAGTTTCCTCTCAGTAAGATTACAATATGCTGAAGGGTTATTATGGAATTTCTACCCAGTGACACCAAGGAGATACTGCCTACCCCGACTTTAAGAGTCCACAACAGATTTCTTCATCAAGTCCTCACTATAAATGATGGAGTCACAACATTTTCTCCAAAAGTGTGACCAGCTTTTACAATATTTCTGTGTTCTGTGAGTCTTACTGTTCTTAATTTGAAGTAAACAGAACAAATTTTGAAAAAAAAAATAATGTTAAATATTTCTGTGCACTTGAGTTTCACAATATTTTAATAAAATCTAATCGCAGTTGGGATTTTGCAGACATTACCAGCACTGTCAGTCAAATTAGGTAAAACCACACAGGCTAAAAATCAGTGCATCAAAACTGGCCTTGTATGGGTCACCACGAACGCTGTTGCTTTAACTACTACGAACTAGTGTTGGTGTTTTGTTTTATTGTAACATTGCTCTTCGGCAATTTACTAAAACTTAAATACAGTAATTACAGCCAAACAAATACTGACATGTATGCTATAACAATTCTATACAAATTTACTTAGCAAATTTTAGTTTGTGTGAATAACCCAGAACAGAAGGAGATATTTATATTAAGGTTTTGTAAACCATTTTGAAAATAAATCAATAAATGCATGATTTACAAGACTTTAAATGAAATTGTTGCACATTTTAGTCACGAAAACAAATGTTATATTGAAATACTTCAAATCAGAAATCAGGTTTTCAAGAGCCACAGGAGCAAAACATGCAACCGTCCAGTCTAATCCACTGGAAATCACTTCAGAGCTTGTAACTAGCATGTATCATGTCGGTGAGATGAGCATGCTGCTGACCTTCTGCAGCTCCTCTCTTAGCCAAGAGGGAAGGGGCTGTCCGAGGCGATGCAGCAGCTTCGACAGCTCCACATTGTGTTCCCTGTAGTACCTGGAGAGATATGCTCGTGCCTACATAGAGTGGCAGGGGAGAAAAGATGGAGGAAGTGGAAACATATAATAAGATACACGGAGGTATGGGAGGAGTAAGGGCGATGGAGTCAGGAAATAAAACAAACAGGTAAAGAATGCAAGGGTGACATGTTGCAGATGGAAAAAAAAACAAAGTATATAGAGATGTGGAAATGGGAAGAAAGAAAGGAAAAGGAGGAGAGGCATGGAGAAAAGGAAGGATTGAAGGAGAATAAGATTAAAAGAAAAAACATTTGAGTAGGGATAAACAAAAATTTCAGAGAGATTAATGATGTGCTGCAATCTTCAGATCAGTTTATTTCGCCTTAGAGCTCCCAGGTCACAAAGTGTTGAGTGCTATCAGCAGAGCTAAGAAAAGAGAGGAGGAAAATTACATGAAGGATGCATAAGATCCATTATCTCTCATCTCTCCCCCTCTCTTGTCTCTCCTCCCTGGTGTTCCCTCAATCTCCTCCCCCCTTCTGTTCTCTCTTTCTGTCCCCTCGGTGGAAACTCAAATACAGTTTAATTATAGGTGACACAGAGGCACAGCCATTCGCCACATGTGAGCACATGCGCGAAGATAAATTGCATCTGTGTGTTTGTCTTCATGAGAGAGCAAATGTGTGATTCATTGTCTGCAGGTCTGGTCTTTCCTCAGTGGAATCCACGGCCAGGACAAAGATTTAAGGATTGGATTTTCTCCTTCTACCTTACTCCCTCCATCCTAACTCTCCCCTATTCTCTCTCATGGGTGTAGTGTCACTATTGAGTCCTCATAATTAGGTTGTAAGTTTCTGGCTGGATCTGATTGGCTGACAGTTTCCAACCCTGTGCTGAGTCCTGTGGGAAATTTTGCCACAGCAATGGCAGACTATGTGTTGTCACTGTCAGTCAGACTGCTGCTTTTCCTGTTTTATTTTGTCTCTTTTTGAAACATTTCATTCGGTGCGTATATTCGTTTTGCTTTTTTTTCCCTGAGCATACGTCTGTTTTAATTAAAATAAAATAAGTTTACCTCTGGTTCCATGGGAGGGTACTTTCGTCCTTTGCTTTTCCCCAAGCATTTTGTCTTTCCGCCCTCAAGGAGCTGGCACCAAAAGCCCTTCTGAGGGTCAAAGCTGAGAGAAAAGCACAAAGGAGGGACAGACAGAAAAAAGAAATGAAGGGCACGAGAAAAACCTTAGTGAAAAATGTGAAATTACAAGCTTTGAATAGAAATGTCAGTGCGTTATCATTTTGAAATTAGGCCTGAAAAAAGAGCAAAAATCTTACATACACGTTCAACACATTTTGACTCTTACTTTTCAGCAATTGGTTTCTCTCTGACTGCTGTGCTGTCTTGTTTCATCTCTCCATCTCTATTGCCCTCCCTTCGCATGTCTGTTATGCGCCCTCTCTCTCTCACTATTGCTATCTTTCTTTATGCAGACACACAGCAGTTATTGTGGCAGAGACATTTTTTTCTGACTACCACATTCCCTGAATTATTCTACACACTTGAGGAAGAAAAAAAAAATGAAGAGTTTGTTATCTTTGTTCCACATGTAGGTTTGGAGTTGTTCTCAAAAGCAGCAAAAAAAATTGTCACGGAATGCATTGTGTTTTGCTATTCTTCACCCTGCCCAACGTGCGTCACAGGCCCACAAAAATATCATGTCCTGATTCTCTCCTCATGTTCAAGAGCTACGCGTCATGTTTACATCAAACCTCCTACAATCTCCGTTCAGCCTATCTCGTGTCCTGAACATTGTGGCTTTGCACAATGACTTCTGAGCAGGAGAAGTGACGCAGCGGTGGATACAAAACAATGTTATCAAAGCTGTCTTGAACAGTCTGCACATGCACCCTCCTCCTATATTATGATGTGATACACTTGATTGTGTTTTCCCGACATTATAAGTGAATAAGCTTATTGGATGCATAATAAAGTAATGCACTGGCAGTGGTAACTCTTTATGAGATGGTCAAACAGAATAAGAAACACGCGTAGGCTGCAGCTTGTTTTGTTTACTCCGTTCTAAGGAGATCTCATTTTAAAAAGTGATTACTGTACTTATTGGCTCGGTTCATTATCTGTAAAACACCCTGAAGAAGGCAACTGTGGAAACATGAGACAGTGTGTTTGCATAATAAACTAACCTGTCTTTGTTTAAAAAATCATAGATAAGCATCCAGTAAATTGCCTGGAATTGGACTGAAAAACGGTCTGTCTTATAACAAACAGTATATGGCTAATGTGTTATTTGTTGCTCAGGACAAAAAAACAAGTGGGAGATTATCTTGAATGCCATGAATGCGAGGTGCATGCCCAGGTGCACACTAATCGCAATCTTGTTAATGGAAAGAGCAGGCAACAGAAAACATGGCTCCCTAAGCAAGAACTAAGGTCACTGGGGAATGGATGCACCGTGCCTGAGATGAAAGCGCATTTTATGAAAAAGTACACAAATGTGAAGGAGAACTATTTTAATAGATTCAATGCCTCCACGATGTCCTCTGAACGGCTCTGTGAGCATCCCTTGTAATTCCAAATGTGTTCGTCTTATTAACAACGACGTTTGGCACCTCTGCAGCATATAATGTGACGACACGAAACAGACGAGGAGATTGTGGATGACTTCCAAAACAAAGTGCCTTTATAAATAACTGTGCATGTGGTTCTTGCCATCTGTATGTGCATGATCGTATATGCATGTAATGTTTATTTATGTATGTATATTAATATACAGTAAATATGTGTGTATGTGCAATACAGTGTGTATGGTTAGGAGCGCATACTCTGATATGTATGCACATTTGCTCATCTAGGGCATATATAATGTGATTTTTTAAATCATTTTCTATCTTTTATGTGTAACATTTAGATTTTGATTTATATGTATACATTCATGCATCTTTTTTGTGCACCGTGGGAGCATACAGTCGAGCAAAAAGAGAAATGAAACGATGTAAAACAACACACGTTGCTGTTAACTGCTATTGGCAGTCAGAAGATAAGGGCTAATATGGATGTGATTGAGAGATGCAAGTATTTTCTTTATCTGCATGCATCAGTGGGTGAATAAAAGAGAGAAAAAAGGAGTTAAGTGGTTCTTCTTCAGTTTTCCTCTGACAGGACAGCAGGAAGAAAGGAGAAGGGGATTAAATAAATAGGCTCCAGTGTTGAGGATCTGTCAGACCGCCGCCATGTCAAAAGAATGAGAAGTCGAGAAAAAAAAAGATTAGGCTTTTGGGTAACTCGGTCTTCAGCCAAAATACAAACTCACAACCGCACACACACACACGCACACACACACAAACACACACACACACACAGCTTGCTTATTATTCTGTCAAAATGCATCTCTTTACAAATTATTTGTATGCATGTGGGTTTGTGATTCAAGACAGAGGCACTCTCTGTCCCAATCTAAGCTACAAATTCTGGATGTCCCTGTCTGGAGGCTTGAGGGCTCGCAGGCAGATTGCATTCTGATGAGTGGTGCTTGAGAAATAAACAGTTTACCAGCCCTCCAAAACATAAAGGTCACATGCAACATCTTTAATGGAGAATGAGTTGAAACAGAGTGTCAAGAGGCGAAAGCTAAATCCCTTGAAATGCACTGAAACTCCAGAGAATTTGGTTGACATACATGTGCATATATAACAGAATAAACACATGATACTGTTTTTGAGTTGTATTAACCATTAAGAATGAGCATCAGCGAGCCAGTGACTACGACTACATCAACACATGTAAAGCAACTGGAATTTGAAGCGAAATAAAAAGATGTGCTGTATTTCCATCTGTAATGATCGTACATCAGCAACACATTTGAAGCCATTATCTCCCTCTTGCTCACTGCACGTCTTTTTTATCTGCTGTGAAAATCTGCAAAAATGTGTTCTGATTCATTATTAAACATTGTTACTGGCACTTTGTGTCTTTGCTATTTTAGTTCCTTTGGATTGACAACACACAGCAGAGCAATCATACTTTTATGTTTGCTGAAACACAGACAGGCAGGCTGTATATATGTGGGGACAGTCACTGCTCTGCAAGCTCACTCTTCACCATTTGACTGACTCCTGACAGGAATAGGCATCAGACTGGTGTTGCAAAAACAGATCTGTGTGTTTGTTATGTAATGTACATGTCATTATTAACACACCTAAATACGAGTGTGGATATATATAATATATAAAATGCTTTTGCATGATGAAGCAAATTAAATGAAATGTTAATATACTTAATGCGATCCCGACAAGATAAGTGTGAGCCACTTGAAGCATCGCTTGTCACACCTTGACTCCTACTTGTCTTGTTAATTTGTCTTAATACGTAAGAATTATGTTTCCACACCTTTCTTCTCTTATGTTTATATTCTTTTTCTTTTCTCATGTTCTTCCATACACATCCTATATACTTTATAATTATGAGCACACAATGGAATTTTTCTTTCCTTTTCTTTCCTCTAATACATAAGTCTGTGTAAAGACAGACAACGGCTCACAACAAATAGCCATGGTATGGTATCGCTGTCACACAGAGAAAAAGAGTGGAAAAGAGTATGTGGCCAGTTTAGCACCTGACCGTTCACCAGTAGATGTCAGACTTGACACAGTTTTGGGACTGGGGTCTTGTTACAGGTTTAATCCGTACTATTTTTTTTTCTACCACAGTGCATGCCAGGTGAAAGGTGCTCTCATCCCAGGACAACAGAGAACAAAAACACCAAAGAGGGAGAGAGAGAGAGAGAGAGAGAGAGAGAGGGGCACTGCCGTACTATGTGAGAGACTTACGTAAGGGCCTGGGAGTAGTTGAAGTGAGGAGTGACTCCCAGGAACTTCTGTACCTCATCCATCACTGCTGCAGGGTCAGCTCTCAGTTGGTGGCCATCTATGATCATCACCTACACATAGATACATTCATACTGTGACAATGGGTACCATAACCTAACTAACTAGCACAGGGTGTACGCAAAGCCCAGGGACAGTTGCGAACTTCAGTGCAACATGATCCGCTTCAGTGACGACAGCAAAAGTTGGAAAACTGACAGCAGGTTTAATACATCACTTTAATCTTTTTCTTCTTATGGTGAATAAACAATAACTGATTCCTACTGGCAATCTGCAACGCGTTACTTTATGCATTCACATCGAAGCACAAAAACAAGGACATTTTAAATGATGCAAAATACACTCAGTGGCCACTTTATTAAAAGTGTGCATCTGTGCAGTCTAATGCAATTCAATATAACAGACTTGGCATAATATATGCCTTTATGAAGCTTGAAGTGTTTCATATTTCAGGACAGCTTGGAAATATGCAAGTTCAATTATATCTTCATTACTGAGCGCATAGTTTAAAGGAATGCTGCATCGGATTACATTTTATTAGAACGTGTTTCAAATGGTGTGTCCCTCAGTGTACACAACATGTTTAGGCACATTAGATTCTCAACCACCACACAATACCATCAAGTCCTAAATTTAATCTGCACCATGACAGAGTCTCCAAACATACAGTCACAGTCAAACAGAACCCTCTTCAACAAGCATCACCAACACCAATCAAGGAGCCATGCAACAGATGGTTTGGCTCCCACAGAGCCCTAATCTCAAAATCACGCAGTCAATTTGGGATTGCATGAAGAGACAGAAGACAACGAGACAGTCTAAATCCACAGACGAAGCGTGACAAGTTCACCCAGATGCGTGGAGCAACCTGCCTGCCAAGTACCTTAAAAACTGTGTGCGAGGCGTACCAGAGAGAATTAGTGCTGTTTTAAAGGTAAAGGGCGATCGCACAAAATATTGATTTGGTTTTACTGTTTACTGCGCTTTGTGTGAAGTTAACTGCTGAAATAAAAACTCTTTGTGTCATGATTTTTGAAAGCATTCTTATATTACTTTTAGTACCTAATACTGCACTGCACAGTACTATACACGAGCAGCGCAGGTTATTAGAAGAATTTCTAAATATAATGGAGTCAGGCACAACACACCCACTGACTATGACCTCAATGCAAGAAAGTATACTTTAATTTAACAGCACAGGACTTATTAAAGTATTTTACAACAAAAAAGTTGCACTGGATGTGCATTGGATTGTATAAGTGCTCAGCAAGTGGATACGTAGATGCCATTGTTTCAGTTGAGAAAAAACTGTTGAGCCCAAAGCAAATCTTTTAATATGTTTCCTAAAACGTATTACTTTTTACATTTTACAAAACTAATACAAGGTTTCCACACCGGGGCAATAGAGTTAATTCATCTCCGTATGGGCATGTGTATGAGCCCCTGTCTGTGTTTGTGCATACCTGGTTAGCAGGGTAGTATGTGAGCCACCTCTCTAGGTGTGTGGCGTACAGTCCGGGGATGAGACAGCGACTCTGCAGGGAGCGTAGCTCAGCTGGCGCTCCCTGTCTCGCACTGATGACATCATAGAAGGTGAACCGCAAGGCTGCGTGGTCCTCGTGAGCTCTTTGATGCTGGGGAGGGTTCACAAGCACCAGTGTGAGTCTGCTTCATTGTCTTACACATCGAGTAATATATTCACATCTTTGCAAGAGAGAGATTTTTTACTGTGGATAATTACATAACATTTCAGCTGACATGTTGTTGGCATTTATATCTCATTAATCAAGCAGGATTAAGCAGAAGATTTCAGGATCTTCCTATACTGAGATGTAAAGATAAACAAATAGATGAACAGCCTCATTAACTCTGCACTCACAAGTGACTCCAATCACAAACTTGGATAAAGAACTCAATTTAAAGCAATACAGCGACACAGCGTGATCCTTTGATAAAGCAGGCAGCTGCGTGGAGGTAAAAAATAATACATGTACATGTAGTTACAGGTATCTAATGTATTCGCTGTGTGTTTGTGCACAGTACTTACCTGATACCAGCTGTAGGCCCTGTCAGAGGGGTTGATGAGCAGGGTGATGATCTTGGCCTTGGGCAGCAGGGCAGCAGCTCGCCGTGGGGACTCGTCTGAGGGGAAATAGTTTGCGCTCTTCTCAAACAGGAAGTCCGTGCTAACATTGGAGGGCACGGGGAAAAACTCCATGTACCTAAGGCAACAGACACGGCGAAAAATTGAGAAGGAATATAAACACACATGCACACACTGAAGATGTACGCCTCACACACAAGCATCCATCATTACTGTAAACTCAGTCACCCGAAGCCTACACAGCATCTTTACACATTTTTTCAAAGTCAGATACAACTGCTAAAGTCAGAAAGTTATAGTCTTTATCTGTGCCTTAGACAGTGATCCTAAAATAAACTTGATGATATAATTTAAACAGTGTTTAATGAAGAATTCTGAGTCAAGTCTTTATGGATGACTTTGGAGAACGCACCAGCTGTGTCTTTGTCAGTTAAGCAACCCATTTATGGGTCAATTTAGACAACCATATGTCTGTTGGCTTATGTTTGCAGGCTTAAAAGATCATTTTGAAGACGTTGTTGAACTGTTTTGAACCGCTTAATGTATCACTGACGTCTGCAAGACACATGACAGCCTGTAACAGCCTCACGAAATGAAAAAGGGGGTTGTTTGTAATCTTTCATTTCACCTTAAGCGCGGACTAATAAAAGGCAAAAACAAAGAATGAAAGACGGGGCTAAGCGCGTGTTTGTGTGTGTTCTCACCAGTCAATTCCTTTGTGGTAGTTGTTGGTGTTGAAGAACTGGACCTCCTCATAAGTCTTCGGACTGGGGAAGTTACTGGAGATGGAGGGATGCATGAGCAGGAAGAGATAAAGTGCTGTCGTTCCTGGAAGAAAGGGCATAATTCATAACTGGCTCGTTAATTCAGCTCAGCAGAGAGTAGTCTGTGTGCGAAAGTGTGCATCGCTGAGTGTGTGTTTCGGTGTGTGTGTGTTAGAGCTGTCATCCACTGATCCATACTGGATGATTTTTCCATCCGCAAGATTTATATCTTGCTGAGAATTCACTATGTGGGTGTGTGTGTGTGTGTGTGTGTGTGTGAGTATGTGTGTGTGTGTGTGTGTGTGTGTGTGTGCGCTGATCATAGGTATCCCCATCAAATGACTCAAAACCATTTGACACCAATCAGCACTGGGGCTCTGGTCATGCCCTCCATCTCACCCTCAACAGTGTCCTTCCACCCGGTATCTGCTCACACTTTCTCCCACACATCCTGTTACATTGGCCCCCCTTCATCTTGTTTCCTATTTGTTCCAGCTTCTCTGACACACCCGCTAATAAAATGAGAATTTATAGTACTGTAATTGCTGTTGGGTTTGCTAATGTTGCTCTAATGACCTCTACTCCCATTCAGAGGATTATCACCTGGTTAATTAGCAGCTATACGGAACCTCCTCACCTCTCACCCCAAACACCATCAATTACAATTTAGGAAATTGCACAGAGGCAAAACACGGGACTTACGTAATGTATACGCATTTTTTAATAAGCTCCTTTTTTTTTTCTCTGCTGTCTTTTTGACAGAGACAGAAAGATAGAAAGAGAGGGCGGTAGCTCTGTACTGTATCCCCATGCATCTAAAGTAGATAGCATGTGGGTGGAAGAAAGGAGGTAAGAGCCTCCTCCTTTGTCTCCCTCTGACAGGACCAAAGGAGCGAGGGGGATTAAATGAATAGGCTCTGATGTGGAGGATCTAGACACCTGGGCACACAGAAGGAGTCTCTTTGTTGCATGTGCATGTCTGAATGTGTGTTCATGTGTATCTCACCTGTTTTTTGTGGCCCTATGACCATGAACTTGGGCAACCTGTCGCAGGTTTTCTCTTTAGACCAGATGTCTTTATGTCGTTTGTCATCACACGGGTTCTACAGACGCACAGAAAGAAAGGATTAGAGGTTAAAGTAAGCATGTACATATTACACATAGAAAAGCAAACATGCCCATAAATCCACATCAGAGAGGATTTACTACATAAAGTGAATGAATTAAGTTTTTCTTTTTGCCTCATGAATAGTATTCCCAGACCGTATTAGCTCGCAAGGCACCACAAATTCATAAAAGCTGAATATACGTCCTTTAAGAACCGCTTTGAAAAAAGAGTAAAAGTAGAAAAACTACTTTCACAAGCAAATCTTGAGATTATCAATTTCGACAAAAATATTCATAAAGGTAAACACTATCTAACTGGTGAATCTCACCTCATTTTCTTTGTTTTTGATACAAAGTTGGCAAATATAATCACACTATCGCTCTAATTTTTCATCGTCTGCACACCAGAATATTTCAGGGCTTTGTTTTTCTGCTTTCTGCCTGAGTAATTTTGAATCTACATAATACAAATATGTTTTTAGACACAAAAGCATAGATTAAAGTGTATACACATACACAGAAATACACGCACAAGCCTGTACATGTGGGCAAATACTTGCAAACACACCTGCCAGAGAGGGTTCCTTTGTTCAGGAAAAAGCTGGAAGTACTTGTGCGCTAGCTGGAGGGGAGGGAGTGTGTGAAGTCTGAGGTTTGTCCACGAGCGAAGGAAGGAGGCCAGGTGAACAAATGTGTAGAGACCCAGTCGATCGTTGCCGTAGTTAGACAGGTGAGTCATGAATATACTTATCTGGAGTGAAGAAACAGAGCAGGGCATGGAGAGGAAAGGAGGGAAGCAAATACATATTTATTGTATTTTGCAAAATTGTGATAAAGTCAAAATCCCATTTCCCAAGTTCCCACGTTTGTTGATGTGGCTTCAATGAAACGCAAACAGATTATTCGTGTGTGATGGTTTTCAAAGTCGCCAGCTGTCCGGTGAATATCAATATTTGCTATCACTTTGCAAAGTGGCGCACAGTCACTTTTGTGAAGTAAGATTATACATTAACTTTTAACTCAACACAATTTCAAGTACAAAGAGGCAAACAGATAAACTGAAACTGATATATTCGCCACTCCTGACAGATAAAGCTGAGGAGGCAGCACAATGGTCCTCGTAGCCACCGGGTGATGGGAGAGATGCAGCTACACACGGGAGAGTATTTCAGAGTGTATCAGAGTGTGTTCATGACGGTTAATGTGTGTGAGGAGGCAGGAGAGACTCAGAGGGAGCAAAGGAGCGATAGTGTGTTGGTCTAGGCTATCCGTCCACGCCTCAGTGCTTTTATAGGCTGATCAAAGAGACAAGCTAAGATAGCTGCAGCAGACAAATGCGCACACACACACACACACACTCACAGACATGCATGCGCGCGCACACACTGACACTCACTAACACGCACATGCTCCTTTTGTGATTGCAGGAAGCTTGGGAATGTGTCTGGATGAAACGGTAACATCAGCCATTAATATATGAATTATTTGTTGAATGTGAGTATGTGTGTCTGTATGTGCATGGATGATTGTGTGTTACTATGTGGGAGAATGTCGATGACTGTGAACACACACAATCACAGACACACACATGCAGCCATGTTCCATCCCTTTAGAGGACAAAACCTTGCCTCACCCCAACCCAAGCATAACCTTTACGGTAACCAAAGCTTTACTCTGACTTTAAACTAAGTCTTAACAACAAAAGTTTATGATTTATGTGTTTTGTCTCCAAAAGGAAAGCAGGTCCCCACAATGTGAGTCTGAATAGTTTTATGTCTGCACAACAAGAGTAATGCAAGTACACATGCAAACACACAAAGGCTCATTGAAGCATACACGGTGAATTTCCTGGTGACAGAGGACTGTCGGTGCTCCTCTTTAGCGGCGAAGGTTGCTGTAGATACAGAGCGACACAGTGTCAGGGTTTGATGGATCAGCGTCCGGCTGACCTGGAAAGCTGTTCGGAATACTGATCGCCTCCGAATACTGATGGGAGGGAAGTGTCGGCGTGTGAGAGACGCCGTGGGAGGGAGAAAGGAGAACAGATGCGTGTGTGGCTCCTTTTGTGTCTTTTTGACAGAGAATGCAACAGAGAAAGAGGAGAGAGGCAAAGGTATGCATGTCAGAGTCAATTTTTTTTTTCCCTGCCTGTGTGTGTGTGTGTGTGTGTGTGTGTGTGTGTGTGTGTGTGTGTGTGTCAGTGTAAATGTTTATGCATTTGCGCGCTTGTGTATGCCAACGCAATTGTGTGCATCTGCCACTGCCGTCTTATCTTGTGCTCACTCTAAGCAAACCAGCGGTGCACCATCCAGGCTCGCCTGCTTCATATCAATCTAGCTGATGTTAGAGCAACAATGTGGAACCACTGTCAAAGCACCGTCAAGCACCAGAAACACAAACACATGCCAGTAAGAAGTGTTTGTTTGCCCCTCCTCTCCAATGAATTGTAATGTCAAAAAAAAAAAACCTCTCTCTTCGAAGCATGAATGGAGAACCTACTACTCTTGGAAAAGTGTAAAATTAAATTCAACCCTTTTCCTACAGCATATTGTGGTTTTATTTCTTTTTTTGAGCTGCGGTGCGTTATATAGGATGCGAATATTATATTGCATTGATACACAGTGAATGCAGGCAAATCTGACCTGGGTAAATAAGAACCATTTTTGTGTTGTTTTGTGCTTTTTTGAAAGCCGGCAGGGTGATCAAAAAGTGATTTATGTTCCCTTCAAACCACTCAATAGCCTATGATGTCTGACTCAGGCTGTGAGGGGACGGCTGTGTACTGCGTGTGTGTGTGTGTGTGTGTGTGTGTGTGCGCAGGTGTCTGCATGAAAGACAAAGAGAGTGAGAAGTGAGAGAGAAAATCTGAGTGTTACTGAACATGGAAACATTCATTATGGAGCTTAAGCACTGGCTGCCAAATTAAACAAAGGGGGAGAGGGAAGATGATTTGTGTTTGTAATTGGAGAGCTGCAGAAAAAGAAAAAAAAAAAACTACAGAGAGGTGGGTAACAAAGGAAAAGACAGAGTGAGTAACCTTGGCAGGTGAGTCTGAATTAAAAAACAAAAAAACAAAAAAGCCACTTGAGAGAATGTTAATCTCCCGACACCGTGCAAACTCCAAACCCTTTCGATGGAAGGACTCATTGTGGTTAAGAATTCAATTAACTGAACCATACAAACCTTTTTTTCGGCATCTAGTGCCATGTCTCATTTCCTGAATATTGGATTGCTTTGAGTCCCATATGTGCCTTTAATAAAGAATACCACTCTAATAATTTAACACCAAAATTGGGCTCAAATCGTACTTGGAACTGGACAGGGAAGGGAAGTGTAAAAATGGGAGAAATAAACGGAACCTTGCAGTCTCCCTGCTTTAATCTCTGTCCCTTGTCTTTTCCTCTCATTGCTCCTGCACAGCTTCATTTCCTTCACCTTCTCTCATCCGTTTAATGTCTTGTTCTCACTCTCTCGTCGGCTCCAAAAAGTCACTTCATGTTGTTTTTTTTTTTCTCCTCTCTACGATCTCATGCTGACCTAGATGCTCTGATGAAGCATGTCAGTCCAACATGGAGTGATGTTCTTCAAAATCCATGAACACACAAGCACACTAACACTCGCACACTAACACTCGCACACAAACGCAAATGCTGCGTCTTAGAAGATTAGGAGAACACCAGTCATGTATTTGAGTTTGTGACATGTTCCAATCCCCTCTAACATGATTAAATTTTTGAAGAAATTACTTGTTTTACTGGTCTTTGGTTGAGGCCAGATTTTAACCTTATCTATCTATCTATCTATCTATCTATCTATCTATCTATCTATCTATCTATCTATCTATCTATCTATCTNTATCTATCTATCTATCTATCTATCTATCTATCTATCTATCTATCTATCTATCTATCTATCTATCTATCTATCTATCTATCTATCTATCAGCATAAGCATGTTCGGCTTAGAAAAGTAATAAGTAAAATAAAGTATATTGTCATTTTTTGAGTGTACTGCGAGTGGACACTATTCTGCCAATGTGATGCAGTGCACAAAGGTAACTGCAGAGCTGCTCACAGTCAGCTAGAAAACTAATAGTAGATATTGTCAACTAAAAGCTTACAAGTTAAACAAATTTAAAAAACAACAAAAACAAACAAGTACTGAGCCTGGAGAAAAACATTTGGTTTGTCCCCGTGAAGCAGTGACACTGTATGCTAAATATAGTATTTTATACTAACCACTACAACATGCGTGGCGATTAATTACTTTACTGATTTTTTTGAGTGTGCTGTTAAGGAAGAATATTGTCCCACAATGCACTGTACAAGGAAACCACGGAGCGACCCACAGTTGGAAATTAAAAATGAGAGTGAAGATGCTTTAGAAACACCTTCAAATGTCTTCAGGTTAAGTTTAAGCGGCAATGGCAACTAAAGTTGTTGCAGTTTGATTGATGCCCAATGGTGTAAATATTAAATTCTTGACAGCAAGTCAGGTTATTGTATGATAATTGGAAAGACTGCATTCAGTAAGTACAGTTTATTTATAGTTTAGTACATAGTGTATACTGTTAGCATGTAGCATGGATTTGGAACACAGCACGGGTACGTATACTTATACTCCTACAGGTTTATACCTGAGTTCAGTTTTTGAAGGTACTTGAAAAGTTCTCCCAAGATGCTTGCTTGGTTGTTCCGCGCATCTAGGCGACCTTGCCACAGTTCTTCTGTAGATTTAGACTGCCTCAGTTGCTTCTGCATGTATTCCCAGACTGATTCCATTATGTTGAGCTATTTCTTCATGAATGTGTGTTATTCCCGTATGTTGCTGTTGCTGTCACGGTGCAGAACTTTTGTACGGTACTCTATGTATCTTATTGCCTCTTGCGCACCCCCTCCCACCACCACCACTCCCTGTCCTTCTCTGCTGCTCTTGCTCTCCTTCAATGTGTAGCTGCAGTCGCCTGTTTCCCATTACAGACCACTTAGTTCCACATACATTCGTCCCTGATTGAACTGTTATTGCTACTAAAAAGGAGTCAACACCCCCCAACACACACACACACACACACACACACACACACACAGAAGTCTTTGTCGTTCTCCATCATCGGCACCTCTCTTCTTCTCTCTCTTTCCCCCTCACAGTGCATCTCACTGTCTCCGTCTCATCAGCAGATAATTGAAAACTGAACGACAATACAGCAAATGATTTCGATTCAATTTATTCTGCCTGATCCAGTCAACATCTACTGGCCCTTTCCATTCTGCCATCTTTCAGTGCTCTTCTCTCACTTTGTAATTTCTTCTCCTGTTTGGATTGTGGCTTATAGTCATTGTGTGTGTGTGTGTGTGTGTGTGTTGTTGTGTTTTTTTGGGGGGGGGGGCCTGTATGTGTTGATGAGCTGCCAAAGCCTTCAGTTGCAATCAGCAGGACTCCGGAGAATGGAAAGGAAGGAGTGAAAATGAGACAAAAAAGAAGTGTGGAAAGATTCACATGTGCGAGAAAAAGTCAACATGCACAGGTTGAAATTTTTTTTTTAAAAAAGAAAGAAAAGATGGAGTGAGATAGGATTTTTGCCCTAGACAGGAGAAGACTGGTGAGAAAGCGGGTAAAACAGAAGGCTAGGAGGGAGGGAGATTCTGCTGATATTTGGTGTTTGGCTAATAAGCTTAGTGGCAGAGCTAAGCGCTAAATGTCAGCCCTGATATATGTCTATAGCTCTGCTTATGCCAGCGAGACACACATTTATACATAACCCGCACACACACATACGCAGATACTTGGATGCTTGGGGCACACAAACATATGCATTGCTGAGTGTTTGTGTGTGTGAGAGCCTATATGTGCATCACTTCCTCTCTGTATGTGTCTGGATTCTCAAGTGACAGAAGATGCCGTGACCTGAAAATTAAATCTCAATCTGTCTGCCACCTTCTCACCCCGCTCTCCCCCGTCTCCCCCACCCTCTCCTCTCCTCTCCTCTTCTCTCCTCTCTCTCCCTCTCTCTCTCTCTCTCTCTCTCTCTCCTCTCTCACCAGCTCTCTGGCCATTTATTGGGGAAAGACTTGTGCCCTATTGGCTGTTTGCAAAGTCCAATCAATTGTCGGGTGTACTGTGTACTGTATGTGAGCTCAGTGATTGTTGATGCAGCCTGGAACGATGCGAAACTATCCATACGGACACACATGCACGCACACGTGCACATGCAATGTATTGGTTGTTGTCAGTGGTAAACTGCCACTAAAGGCCAAATGTGATTTGAAGTCATTGAGCAGGAAGTGGCAATGTTACCAATGTGGAGATCATCAAACAATAGAAACCCCTGGGGGACTAAAGCGGCGAGCTACAGAACACTATTGATTACACGCACAAAGTGCATACACTAATTAAGCTTTTGCGTCTGCAAATGGAAACATAGCAGTGAGAAGCGAGAATGAATCATCAGTCTGTATATTTGCTTGCATATGTGTGTGCGTGTGTGGACGCAAGTCATGGCAAATGGCTCTCATTTAGTGCTAAAATTGCTTTTATGTTTAATAGGTCTCTTCATTCAGTGGCACAAAAAGAGGGGAGCTTCATCTCTTATTACACTGATTAAGAAAGGGAGAAAGTGAGAGAGAAGGACAAAAGATAGCAGAAACAGAGGGAGAAAAAAAATGTAATTAGCGTCTGTGTGTTTCTGGCTTTCAAGAAGAATTTCAAACCCTTGTATATATAAGTGTGTGTGTGTGTGTGTGGGTGTGTGTGTGTGTGTGAAAGAGACAGCCAAAGAAAGAGGAAAAGCAAGTGTGCAGATGACTCCCTCTTGGTTTGTCGAGCTCATGTGGAGACGATCTTAATGTAATGTTTCCCAATATTCTTCAGGGTTTTATTTACTTATGTACTATATTGCCATTTATCATAACTTCTGCATAATTCTACGATTGCATAATGCTGTTACATTCATACATTTATGATGAACATTACCATACTTTACATCACAATAGCAGCATGTCGTCATCACTAGAGTCACCATTAGAACAATCAGTACTACATTCATGCGCCTTTTGTGGCGTGATTATTATTGTGTTGTATTGTTCTTCCTAAATACATTAATATGACCTTTCAATGCAAGTCCCATCAGTAGGTTTGACTCATCAAGTTTTATTATATTCTCACTTCATAAATTATATAAATGTTTTGTGCTCATGCTTTTATTCTCAAATGGTACTTCCTTGGTCAGGTACTGGGTTGTGTTTATACATCCCCAAACAGAACTGAAACACATCTTTATGACATTTTAGGGATATAGAGGAAAAGTAGTATATATAACATAAGAAGAGGAATATACTGAGTTTTTAGTACACAGACCAGGAGTTTTAACGCTGTCCAGCAAACATAGGAGAATTTCCAATTTGAATACTTTTAATCTTTCAATTTAAATAACTCCTTATTTGTTTTCTCTTCAAAATTGGCCATATTAGTTATTCTATAAAAATAAAAGTCTATAAAAAGTTAGGCATCTGTTCCAGTAATATTGCTCCAATAAAAAAATGCAATTGGGCTCCTGTTATTTACTTTTTATGAGGCGTTCAGGGAAGTTTTCATTTCTGTTATCCTACCCTATCCCTGTGCTAGCGTCACTGCACTGGCTACCCTATCTTTGTGAATAGACTTTAAAATCTGTTTGCTCGTCTATAAAGCCTTACATAACCTTACTTCTTCCATATCACCAACTGCTTTCATTTTATGTTCCAGCAAGTCTGCTCAGATCTTCACTTGTCCTTCTTTCTAAGGTTCCTAAAGCTTTGCCACAAGAAAACCACCGAGGCTGCTTTCTGTTTTTACAGCCTGAGCTGTCGAACATGCCCCCTGTTATTCTAAGAACAGCAATATCCCTTAGTTTTTAGTAATAAAAAAGAGAATTAACAAAGGGTTGTTTTAATTTAGAGCAATTAAATCAATTTTAATTGTAACCGTTTTATTGTTTTATTGCGTTATTATAAGTGTTTTTATGAGCTTGCTCAAAGGGAATCCTTGGATTTGTTGGGTTTCTCATTGTAATATTATAAGATCTACTCTTAGTATGTGAGACATGCCTTGAGTTGACTTATGCTGTATGAATGTGACTCATGTAGATATCACTTATGTATCAGTGACATACATACAACGTAACATCGTCAACATCAATCTGACTGAACTGAATGAACATCCATCCATCCATCCATCCATCCATCCATCCATCCATTATCTCTACACTGCTTAATCCTCACTACGGTTGCGGAGGGTCTATCCCAGCTGACTCAGGGTGAAGGCAAGTCTATCACAGGGCTACACTTAGAGACAGACAACCAAGCACACTCACATTCACACCTACGGACAATTTAGAATCACCAATTAACCGCAACATGTTTTTGGACTGTGGGAAGAAGTCAGAGAACCCAGAGAGAACCCACGCTGCATGGAGAGAACATGCAAACTCCACACAGAAAGATCCCAGGTGTCCTAACAGAGACGCAAACCAGAGATCTTCTACCTGTGAGGCAACGGTGCTAACCACCGAACCACTGTGCAGCCCCTGAACTGAACATATGTATAACAAAACTGAGTTGAATGATGTTATATTTTTATGTTTTACTTCTTTTTTTAACCCTATTCAGGACTTTTGGGGTCTTTTGGACCCCAGGCCATTTGGTTTAGGTGACAGGTATTGTTTTTTTTGTTGTTTTTTTTAAGATTTTTTTTTTTTATATATATAAAAAGAGGGACATTTGTCATGCATACCGTTCTTCCTCAAATGTTACTTTGTTTTTAAGTTACTTTATTTTTAAGTTATCATGGCTTCAGTCATGTTGACTCGTCCTGCTCATGTCAACTACTGCAGAGTTGTGCTAAAGGCCACACAGTTACTGAGCTACACCTTATTATTTATTCAGTGGAGCATGTTGAAAATGACTAAGGGTACGGATTTTATAGTCACAGGTGAGTCTTGTGGTGCATTTTCCCCACTGACTCACTGCATTCATGCAATTTGTATCACTTATTGTTACAATACATGACAAGCAGCCTCTCTAATCACTCTGTTGGTTAGACAGAAAAATTATACTCCCTCCATATTTTGCTCCATGCCAACCACCTAGTTCTATGTCTATTATTAGAAAACCATTGTTGCTGCTAGAGGGAAATGTAAAACACTTCATGTGCACTAGAGATTTCTTCTCCAGGAAGGCTTTACCTGATACAGAGCAATTAGAGAAGTTCTACAGAACTGAATATGAACTAATTCCTGTTTTGTTAAATCAAGTGCCAATTGAGAGTAGAAAAAAAGCACAGTGCTTGCACAGTGCGATGCAAATGTCATGTATTATGATGCTTTTCAAAAAAAATAAAAAAGATTCAAGACCTTGGTGCTCAAAAGGAGAAACAGTGATGCACTGACACTCTGACACAGCGAAGACAGACGGAACAAAAGAGAAAAAAAAAGCATCTAAATAAATAAAACAGCTCAGAATGGAAGACAAAAGAAAGAGAGAAACAAGTAAAAGAAATAAAAAGAAAATATGAGACAAAAAGAAATAAAATTGAATAACAAAAAGATGAGACAAAGTGGTGCAGAGAAAGAAAGAAGAAAGCAAGATTGGGTTGTTGTACAAAGCTGCACTTGACTCTGTGATGTTCGGTGAGTCCTGACAGCTCCTCTAGTTCAGCACTCCCCTACCTGACACTTCAATACGGCCTACTGCTGGTCTATGAGCATCTCTTTGTGTCTGTGCATGTGCACGTGTGTGGTTGGAGGCAGAGAGATAGAGAGAGAGAGAGAGAGAGAGAGAGAGAGAGAGAGAAGAGGTAGAGGTAGAGGGAGAAAGAGATTGTTTGGGGACAGTTCCTGTGAAATGATATGTCTATCTTTAACTGTGTGCGTGCACGCCCTCGTGAGCATGTTCGCGTGGATGAGCATTTTAACTGCCACCTAAACCTAATTCTGTTCCTTAATTCAAAGCAGAATCGAGTTGAGCTGACACACACAGCAGGAGCAAGTGAGAGGGGGAGGATGTGTGTGTGTGTGTGTGTGTGTGTGTGCGTGTGTGCGTGCGTGCGTGCATGCGTGTGTGTGTGCGTGTGTGTGTGTGTGTGTGTGACAGCAACCCCCCTGTGGTGAGACCTAATTTAAAGTGGGGAGATGAACACAGCTCCACAGTGAGAAGCAGCCCCTGACAGGAAAAGAGACAGACAGACACACACAGCAAAAATAAAAAAGAACGAACCAGACAAGAGAGGAAGTTACCTTTAGAGGAGTGAGAGTGGGAAACCCTGTTGGTGCCTCTTTAAGGTGCAAAAATCAAAATCAAGTGTAACAGTCTTGCCTGTTTCTCACTCTCTATATCCGTTTGCATGTGCAAGTGGAGTTTGATTGTTTATGTGTGTGTGTGTGTGTGTGCTTTCTCTGACTCACTGGATTGAGCAGCACAGTGAGAAACAGCTCTCCCCCACGGATGCTTTTGTCCAGTTCTTTAGGTCCGCCGGGGTATTCCTTATAGTAGATGGTGTGAGTAAACAAGCCACACGTCTGGCGAGGCAGCACCTACACATACAGACATTCAATGAAAGAAGGATGTCTTTCATATCTTCAGCTTAAGCTGCAAAGTGCAAAGAAACAAACTGTTCGACCAAGCAGAGTCATGAAAACAGGTCCTGGCTGCGAAGACAAAAATGCATTTACAGCCAGAAAACATGACATTGGTTCGTTGAAAACAACAGTCAGACTCATGATGGACAGTTTAAATAAAATATTCAAATCAGATCCACATATTTTGTCTTTTTTTTACTCCACGCTTTGTTCTTGCTTGTCAAATTCTGCAGTTAGAGATTTGTTTGTGTTAAGCCAGTAGTGTCTAATGTGGCCTTGAGCCACTAAACTCAAGCAGAGTTGAGGCTGCAAAAGCATGGTGACCTCACTTCTTTTTTAAGTCCAGTTTGTCAGAGTTTCACTTTCAGATTCCTAGTCGTCAGCTGTCAACGCTTCAGGCAATTTATCAAATTTCGCACAGCTCACTCTGGAACCACAAAAGGCTTTCTGCTTTTTCTATTTTTGCACTTATGCAGTAGCACTCATGTAGACCTGTAAACACACTTTGATGTGCAAAACTGATGGAGTTCCCCTTTAAGTAGCATACGAAACCACCATGATGCAATGATTGGAGATTAAAAAGAAAACGACAACAAGTGGGGCGGTTTTTGAAAGTGCTGATCACTCGCGTGTGTCAAGTCCAAAGTACAAAAAAACGAGTACAAAGTTGGCTTAAAATAACAAAAATAATTCTGATGACAGATGTAAGGATGAAATGATGATGATGATGAAGATGATGATGATGAGATGAAATGTGCAGCTATAGAGTCAAGCCTGTCTGCACGGCAGCTTCGTAATATTAAAAAGCCGGCAGCAGAGCGGGGCAGGAATCTTCTGAAGTGTTGTGTCGTGCAGCATATGGCAGTGTTACCTTTATCTACAGATGGTTCGAGTCATATTCTTGTACAGTGTAACAGACTCTTTTTTTCACGACGGATGTTTTGACTTGCCATAGGATGAAAAGCAAAGGTGTAATTAACAACATAAGTGACGGCTCCAGTTCCAGGACATCGGTGTTATGCATGCTGGCTCAGTGACACTTAAACAGAATGGAGTCATTATTAAATGGTATTAGTTCTACCTGCGCTTTCCCTGTAATGACAAGACAACACGTCTGCAGTGAAAAAGGTTTATTAGAGTGAAATTAATGGTGTCAAAAGACACACCGGTTACTGCCCCCACTGCGCTTAAGCCATCGCTTCTAAAGAGCCGTCTAGCCAAGATGACTTCACTCCATCGGCAGAAACTCAATTTTTATGCAGGTGCGGAGCACAAGGCATTGATTTGCCCTACTGATTAGTTAAATCTTCCGGAGGCTCTGTTCATTTTTTTTCCATCACCTGCACCTGTTTGGTATTTTGGTGATCTGCTGTTTACCAGAGTGGGAGGAGATGATAACAGATTACTTTTAATCCCACCCCGAACAGATGCACTGTGCACCCTCGGCCACAAAAATACCAAGAAAAATACCACCGTGCCCCGTTTGAGCTGCACACTCAGCTCCTTTGGACGAAAACGGACTCCAAAATGTCGATTTCTTAGACTCTCTTTATCGCAGCTGATTCAACAGTAATGACACTGGCTTTGATTCCAAGATCTGAAGTGTGCAGTTTACGTCTACAGTAATACCAGCATCCATCAGCCAAGCATTTGTCAGAGTAATGAGTCTTTAGCCCAAAGTAAATATACATTTTAATGAATTCATGTTGTAAAAAAACACAAATTACGTGTTCAAAAACATGTAAACAACCATGAAGGACTAATAAGGAGCTGGATCAAGTGTTTAACAGCGAAGGAATTAAATGCTTTTTCATTAGTTCATCAAGAGAAGAGAAGAGAAGAGAAGAGAAGAGAAGAGAAGAGAAGAGAAGAGAAGAGAAGAGAAGAGAAGAGAAGAGAAGAGAAGGAGGTCTTTATAGCAAACTCCTTGTGGAGCACTTCTCTGTGTGAAATAGAGAGTAAAGGCTGGAAGCGCAGATATTGGTTTATCTATAAAACACTGCAGACTCGTTCACACTCACACGAGAGAGAGAGAGAGAGAGAGAGAGAGATGGAGGGAGTGAAAGTGAGAGAGAAGGCCACCAGAGCCACAGACACTCAGCACTATTTCACCAAACCAATTATCCACAGAGCTATAGCTCAAACTGATATAGTACATTTTAAAAAGAAATACACACACACACACACACACACACACACACACACACGCATGTTTGCGTGAGTATACACACACACACACACACACAACCCCATATCTCAGTCTGATTTGTTCTGATACTGTGGGTCCAGTGGGTGGCTCTCAATCTGCTGACAGAGACACACAAACACCAATTTTACAGCCTTAAGACAACTTCCTGTCCTCCTCTGAACAAACAAAGATGGAGCGAGGAGCGCAGGAGGAAGAGATTAATAGACAGAAATTGCAAGAAAAATTGGAAGTGAAAAATGTGAGAGGTAAAGAAAACGGGAAGGATGTGAGGATGGATGTCCCGGAGTAACCTTAGAAGAGGTCAGGAGGCAAGATGAATCTAAAATAAATAGATCAGCTGGTTTATGGTGGTGGAGTGATTAGGATTTACCACGCGCCGAGGTGCACGTGTATGCACACACCTAAACCGCCACGGAAACTGCCTCTCAAAAATATGTTCTGCCTCCATGAGCTAAGTTTTGATTTTGTTTTCTCCTTTTTCCTTGCCTCCCTTGCCTCCCTTTGCTATTTAGTCAGTGTAGCATGCAATGTCTTGGAGCAGGAGATGGGCCTTTTCAATATTTCCCTGCACTGGTTACACTTTCTACAGTTTTTTTTTTTACTGTGCAATGTCACTTCAAGGTCCACCCCGAATAGCTGTTGCTTTCAGTCACATCGCATGACACACACTTTACATCTTCATCAGCAAACAGAGCTGCAAATTGGACATTTAAATGCAAGAAATTTTTCCTGGCCGAGACATCCATTGATAGCGATTGCTTTAATCAAGTGAAGTGAAGCCTGCCGTCTCTTCATTGTGCATTGTTGTGAGGGTTGACATAAATTAGGTGCAGCATGTACTGGATACCTCAGGGGACCACCAGTGGCAGATAATTCTGAGTTTTTGCAGATGTAAAAAAATCATCATTCTCTTTTTCATAACGTTTTCCTCAACATCTAAACCAGCCAGCACCAGAGCGGGGCCGTCTCTCTCTGGAGAGTCTTTCCCCCTCGGTCGTGTTGGGTGTTTTCCATCAGCAGCCTGATTTAGAGTAAGCAAATGATCAGCAAGCCACTATAAGTCCCTTCATTTCCTGACAAGGCAGAGAGACCAGGAAAGCTCAACCGAATGAATCTGATTTGCATATGTCCTTGCTCCCCCTGCCAATGTGAACAAAATTTCCCACTTGAAAAATAAAAAAGAAGTTTGTTTCAGTTTTTAAAAAAAAAAACCCTCATGGAGAGCCTTTAGTTGAATTTGAAAAGACAACAGGAGCAAAAGTTTCAAAAGCGACGCCTGGAGAAAATCCATCTTCAGTGTCAATTGTAAGCGTGAGTGCAATTTGTTGAGCGGGGCGGTTATTTTATTTTATTTCTGTCTGTTATTTCTTCTGCAACTTTAAATTTTTTCTGGTATAAAACAATTTTTTTTTCTTGCTAATTTCTGTCAGTTTGTTCTTTGTTGTTTCAACCATTTTCCATCTTTTATTTGTGATGTATTCTGTTGTAAACTGTTGAGCATGCGTCTTTGTTCGGCGGCTTGTTATTTTATTGAATCCGGTGATTCGCCGATGCGTCTCAATACCTTACTATTGATAATGTATAATAGCACATTATAGCCTGTCAAAAAAGTGAGCTTGTTATTGTATCGAGAGGAAGTAGGATTAAGTGGCTCTCTTTTATGAAGCTGTGACAAGATGTCAAGAAATAAAAAGCAGACTTCTAGGACTGATTAGAAAATTGCCATAGCTGTCTGTTCAAATTGTTTTTCTCAAGACCCAGATATGGTAGAACAACATGGACTGGTAATTTCGATGTCAGATGTGATTGGTTCTTTTGTCAATAAGGGAACAGTTGTGCATACTGACAAAGAGCCTGACTGACAAGTGAATGAAGAAGAGGAGGAGGGAAGGCGGAGGGAGGGATGAAGGCAACTTTCTTAGGTGAAATGGGTGACAAAAGATTTATTCTATGGCTGTCTCAAACGCTGACTGATGAATTATTTATCACAGCATAAAAGTCTAAAAAATGCTCTCATTACTAGATCTTTACTCTATGGCACGCATCCTTCACATACACAAATACACATGCGCGGAAAAGTTCGCCCCTCAGCTGCATTGGGAAACCATTAAATATTGAATTAACGTGGAACTGAGCTTGCTGTGGTGAGACAAGGTCAAAGAATTCATATCACATGCATACGCGTACGCAGAGAGGTTACACACCATGCACAGCATCATTGATTTTTGGTTTAAGACCGCAAGAAACAATCAGCACACAATTTACTGTTCGGCAAACACTTATTTGAACAGAGAGACAGCAGTCAAACAGTTTTTCAAAGCCAGATAAAAGAGCAAGAGCGGCAGTACAGCATATGCAAACAAAGTCTTATAAGTAAATTATTCTGAATTTGAGCTTACTTCGACTTAGCTGCTCTACAAATTATATAATTCATTGTTTTCATTTCAGTCAAACGAATTAGACAAATAATTTGTTCTTTTCCTGGAGGGCAAAGAAACTGCGTATTGGGTCTTGATTTTGATTTAGGGACTTTGCATGGATCAGAAGTGACACGAGAATAGAGTTGGTTGCGATATTTATAATTTTTATCTGACCAACTTGACTCAAATCTTTATGTCAGGCAACACCCATCTGTGCTTTGTCCGCCAGGCCAACTCATTTTATTTCACCAACTCTGACTTCTGTCAAGAGATAGTTGCAACAAACTGCTGTGTAACAACAAGTAGCCTGACAGAAAGTGTAAATACTAGAGGAAAAGAATGCAAAGCAAAACAGCAGGGAAACATAAAACAAGCATAAAAATGTTGTGGTAAAATTTGTATACAAATGAGACCCGAGGCAGTCTTTTTGGCATAAAGCTGCACACAACACAGAGACGTTGCATTCTGAACATCCAGCAGGTAGATGCAAAGAGGCTGATCAGTTTTTATGCATGTGCTGAAACAATCGATCAAAGTGCATTTATGCGCGATGATGAGCACACACTTTCATGTGTTTGCTTGAGGAGAAGCCAATGGACATTTGTGGTTTTTTCATAAACAACTGATTGACAATGTTTTCTCACCATTATGTTGTTGTGGACGAAGCCCTTACGGTAGCGGGCCGGTTTGAGGTGGGGATACTCCTCGGTGCTGGTGACCCGGATGCTCCACACTCGTCTCCAGGCCTCGTACAGCTGCAGGTGAACCGGGTAGACGCCGGAGTGGTGCGGAGCCACGGCGTAGCCCATATCCACCGGGATGTTGTGCTCCTGGAAGGACGGAGACACGCATAAACACAGACACGTACATGAGGGTTATATACATAAACACAGAAATGATGGCACATTTACAACTGGCAGACAAAGGACTCTGTAGCACATAAACACACAGGCTGACCTTGTAGGAGAAGCACGTGCTTTGTGTTGTGTTTGTTATGACGCTGGCCTTCGGGTTGGAAATTAAAAAAATATATAGTTTGTGTGAGCATGTGGGTGTGTTTGTGTGTGTGTGTGTGTGTGTGTGTGAGGGTGGGTGGTTGCCGGGTGCTTCCCCAAGACTGATGGTGTTGTCCTTTGCTCTGACACACACCTACACACACTGTCAAAGCAAAGCATCGGCGGTCAGGGGATGAGGGAGTGAAGAATGCGTGTGTGTGGGTACAACAGAGGTTAGCAATCACGCTTTATGTCCACGCTCACCTTCAGTGGCGTGAGAACCAGCCCACTTTGCTCTGTTGTATGTGTGACTTCACATTCCAATATGGTCATACAAATCATCTTCACTCACTCACACACACACACACACACAAAACAAAGCAGAGCAGAGCAACAAAAGCACTCAACCTTTTGGATTTTGGATTAACCAGGAGACCTTAAATAGGCCACAGGTGTGCCCATCAAAATAAGTGCATTGCTCCCAATTGGGATATTACATTTTGTTTGTTTTTCAGAAGTAAAACTTTTTTCTACCCCACATCTCATATTATCAGTTATGGCGACATGGCGCACAATTATGTTGTACAAATGTCATTTTCTTAGTTGTACTTTACCTACAGCTTTGGTTTTGTGGAAACACTGAGCAAGAAGCCTGGTTTATTGTCTATGTGGTGTTGAGATGTCACACGTGTCAGGCTGGAAATAAAGAAACTTTTCGAATGAAGCTGAAAAGATGGTTTTGTCATATAATGCATTGTTATAAAGTTGTATTCTTTCCCCGACACTCGCAGCGTCTGAGTAAAGTCGGTTTGAACGGATCCAGCACTCTCACCTGAGAACATCATGTCTGTAATCGACTGTGGCAAAGAAATAACAATTACTTACAGCCACAGACGTCCTTGAAGAAAACGCAATCATGGGAGACGAGCATGATTAAAAGGACACACAAAGAAGAAAACGGCGCCGAAAAGAGACAGCTGCAAGAAGTACGCGCGTAATGCTTGTGCATGTATCTCACCAGAGCGAACTCCTTGTTGAGGACCATCTGCTCCAGCAGTGAGGACTCGTTGTGGAAGAGGTGAGGCTGCATGTGGCTCCACATGTGGGGGAACCACCAGAACTCATCTACATACTTCAGTAGCAGATCGTCTCCCTCATCCTCCTCCACCGTGCCTGCACGCAGATTAAAAAAAAAAAAACACACACACACACGCACAAGGACAAAAGGACAAATAATAAAATGTGCAAAAGCAAGCAGGCGCACAAGGTTAGAGAGTATCATCAAGCAACTGGGTTGTCTTAAGGTTGTGTTGCTAAATAAAGTGGTCTGAAACCATGGTGATGAAAAGTGATGGCATAGCTGTAACAGATGCTATGGTAATGTGTTGTACTCTGTATTAGATTTCTTCTAATTATAATCATGTTCAGTCTCACCCCTATTTTTCCTTTCCAGTGTATCCTACACCTTTGTTCTTTTACTGCGGATTTAGATACTTTAACGAGAAAATCAATAAAATCTGTCCTTGGAGCCACAAAACAGCCGACAATGCTCCGCAGTAGATCATGACCTCATAAATATGCCTGAATAAATATTACTTTATAACTCTAAATTTAGAATTTTTTTTTTTTTAATGACAGGAAAACTTGGCACAAACGAGTTTGCACACTATGCGCTGTTTAACCATTTGCAGCCTGTGTAGTTGTGCGTGTACTGTGTATCTCGATGCATAATAGAAATCAATAAATATACATAAACATAATTGACTTATACCAGACTGTAAATAGTATATTTTGTCTGATTGGTGACAATACAGGCAAACATGCATCAAACTGCAAATATGGTATATATAGCACATGCTAGAAGAACTGTGTTATTTACACTTTCACATAATTGTAAGCCACTCTTTCTTACTTATATATGAAACTGTATGTTTAGTTTGAACCACATGGACAGTTTTCATTTAATTAGGCTAAAAATTTTTATCCAAGTTTCTACTGTTACCACTTCACCATTTGAATATCTACATAAAAATCTACTGTAACAACAATATGTATGAATCATTCATTAAAAAAACAACCTACATTATTTTTAAAAAACCCATATATTTAACAGCAATGTTTTATAGTTCAAGTTGACATTTTTACATTCCTTATAGTGTCTGTGTTGATCTGGCAGTGATGGAAAACAAACAGAACACACCTGTGTGGTAGAACTTCCCAGAGAAGCCCAGATTGAAGGTAAAATTGGAGATTTGAGAACGCAGCTGTTTCTGAGTATCAAGGAGAGCCTGCATAGATAGATAGATAGATAGATAGATAGATAGATAGATAGATAGATAGATAGATAGATAGATAGATAGATAGATAGATAGATAGATAGATAGATAGATANAGATAGATAGATAGATAGATAGATAGATAGATAGATAGATAGATAGATAGATAGATAGATGACAGGACAATAGAGACAGAATTCCATTCAAATCCTTCAACTGCACAGACAGAGCACACTGTATCAAGTTCATCTCTCCCCAGCCTGCACTTGTGCAGATAAAAACCTGATCTGTCTGATTTAAATCGTATATCTGTCTGTTGTGTGTGTATATATATATATATAAAGCCGCTTTCAAACATGCACTCTTTTTCATCAATCTGATGGCATTTAAACATTTCCCCCTCATGTCATAATGATGAGCACCCTGGTCACTTTTCCATAAAGGCCAGTAGGTCAGACCTAGCAATGCTTTAACATGTCACAAGTTTCAAAATATAAGTGTGCACAACATATTGACATACATTGTTGTGTACAGTGGCAAACACAGTGCCACCAAATCCCAGCAGAAGCTACCGGTGTCACCTGATGTACTGTCCAATCTCTGGGGCTGTCCTCCTGCACCAAATTATTTTGGCAAGTGTTTTGTTCCTACATTTATGATAATATTTCTGTTTGTTCTGAAAACATATTCAGTTTGGCTCCCTTCCAGGATAACAAAAATATAGACCCTCATGAATTTCTAATCAGTTTGTGAATCTCAAGTTGTGGGGAACAATAAGACAAAAGTGACCAATGTCTGAATGACAGAACGTCGTCTCTTTAGCAGACTGATTAAGTCAGTGACGTATCCCATGTCTGGAAGGGGTGTAAGTGAACCCTTGTTCCTTTTAGAACTAGTATGAAGGCTGTACTCATCAGTGCTTTACCCTATGGCTTTACAGTGGCGTTACTCATTAACGTGCTGTTGCAGTGTGTTTCATTACTGAGGCCTGTTGTTTTGTTTTCTATGCACCCAATTGGGTTCCTGTCCTTAAATTTATAGCAATCTCTGGTTTCAATACTTGAATCAGGATTTTCTTCACTTATTTAATGACTTCATTAGTTTACTGGCCTTTAAACAAAGACTCTGTAATGAGTGTTAACTAAAGAGAGTTGCACACTCTGCACACACACCGATAGTAATGCGAGTTAATGAAGGTCAGTGCATTAGTAGCCTCTGGAGGGTGGACTAATAACCCCCACACACACTCCTCCCTTCTCATCATTCTCTCCATCCATCCCTAACACTACCAAGTGAAACCCTGTACACTCCCCCTCTCCCCTCCCCTCCCACTTTCTCTCCTTTCTCTCTTTCTGGTTCTCCCTCCATTCTTCCATCTTCCTGCTTCTGAGAACCTGCAGTCGCCTCTCTGCCCCCCCCCCCCCCTTCCCCATTTGTCTTCCACTCCTCCCACCGTTCTCTGAACCTCCATCTCTCCCTCGCTTGCTCCGTGAAAATGTCACATTCTCAGGAGACAGGGCTGTACTAATTTGAAATGAAGGCTGAAGCAGCATGGAGGAAACGTCGCTCGCTCCCTCGTTCTATAACTCCCTGCCCCAGCTCTTTCTCTCGCATCCTCGCATCCCATGTTCTCACAGTTTGTTCCCGCAAATATTTTGTTTATCTATAAAACTCTTTGAAGTCTCTTTATATTTCGGTCCGCAGGGTCTTTCTGTTGGGCTACGCACCACATCTCGGCGACCAATCTTTGTCATGCTGCTTTTAATCGATCCCTAGGAACCTTTCCTGATTTACGAGACCTGAGCAGCTGAAGCCAGAGCTAGGAGTTGGTTCCAGGCACTGCCTTCCCCCCCTACCCTCCGCCTCTCGTTTTTTTCACCCTCTCCCCTCCTGAGTGTGTGCCTTCCAAACTAACAAATACCCAGACACATGCATGGAGTGTCTTCATTAGCTCTAATCTAATGGTGTTGAAGATGGCTGCATGCTGACAGATGTGCACAATTCCCTAATCTGATCCCCTGTCTCCTCTTCTATGACATCCTCTACATCTTACCGAGACACACAGACACACAGACACACACACACACACACACACACACAGAGGCAAACGTGTGGATACAAAGACTTAAGAATTAAATTAAGTTTGTAGCTGAGTGCTTTGCATTGTAACTCAATATACACTCCCCGATGCACTTGGTCGAAATGCATTATTAACGTGCGTGTTGGTATCTGCGAGAGCTGGCGTAGGTGTGTGTCCAAGTGTGCAGTATATTAGTTTAAACATCTCATTTGTATTCTGCTACCTAACATCCAAAGCAGAAAACAGAGGAACCATGAAGGAAATGTTTGTGCTGTGTCAGTGAGACTCGGAGCAACAAACAGCCAAACAGCTGCTTTTTGCATGTTTTCACCCCTTTCGCTCTGACAGTCAACATTTTATCCCCTCTATTTCTGACTTGGTAAAGGTATGTTTTTGTTGTGTGTGGGACGCCACCGTGAGCAGAAAAAAAAATAAAAAAATTCAAAACGCTTCCAGTTGCTGCATTTATGGATGCTTTCTAATTTGAGAGCTCCAGCAAAAGATTGCACTGACAAGTCACGTTGTCAGAAAATTTTAAAGCAGACCACCGAAAAGCAAACGCGGATGTTTTTGAAAGGGACAACGGGAACTTGGCAATTTATTGCATCAAAGAGGGTGTTGTTCAGCAGCCAGCTCTCAAATCTTACACATCAGAGAACTAACCTGCAAGGAGACTTTTCAAAAACACTCCCCGCCTGCAACAGCGGTGCACATTATGAAACGTTCACAGGCAACAAATTACTCAGTGAGATAGGTCAGCTTTCTCCACCAAGTTTCAGTTCTTGAGTGATTTTCAAGCCATTTAGAGGGTACATTTAATAGTAAATAAGGAGAGCTGAGAGAGAAGGTCAACTCTGGTTCCTTTTTCACCTTCACAGAGCTGACCAGTTATTGTATGGAGTGAGTATGAATGTCGGAGTGTACGTTTTAGAAAGACGTGCTCAGACACAGGCCCTGCTAATCTGATTTCAGGAAGTGTGAGGGGGTTCCTGAAGCTATTTGGCCATACGACAAGTATGCTGGCAGTTTAACAGCCTTTCTAATTTGCATAGTAGCCTTACATTCCTGCATTTTATTTGGTGACTCAGTGTTTATAGCATATCCAGTGGTTTATATGCCAGTTGTGCATTATAGGTAATAAGTCGTCAAACCTGCAGATTATCACTAAATTATTCAAAAGACCACCACATCAGGACACTATAACCACACCCAATGGTAAAAGATTGTTTAATTAGAACCTGAGTATCAGCAAAACCAAACTAAAAAAACAGATCTGTGCTAATCATGTCAGTTTACTGCCCCAAAACGAATCCTCTACATCATTCTTAGAAACCTGACTTTCAGGAGCAGCTAGCATATGGAAGGACTACTGTAAGGGGAAAGAGCAGAACTGTGGTGACAAACAACAGCCAACAATAAAAACAAGTACACTTCTTGGACGGAAACATTCACACTGAGCATATGACAAAACCTTCAGTGTGCCTCTGAGGGACAATGAAGTCCCCTCCTGCTGTTTTTCTGAGGGTAACAGCAGCAGATCTGGGAGAATTGGGGGCTTTATGCAATACGGAGCCAATCTGTCCAGCGGATGCTGAGCTCAGAGCTGAGAATGGTTTTAAAATGGGCCATAAGAGATACTTTATAAGAAAAAAAAGGGGGAGATTTGGATTAGCAGGAGGTGGGACTATGTAGCATGTGAGAGATCTTGACAATCCTAGTGATGAAGGTAAACACACACTGGGATTAGTGGTTAGCGATAGCCCTCATTTCCGTGCCCAATCCCACAGCTTCCCAGCACTGTGAGTGTCAGAAGCAATGCCAGTTTGTTTCTGTGTACGTGAGACTGACAGCGGGTGTGTGTTTTAGTGTGTGCTTGTATGTGTGTGTGGTAAGCACTGGAAGAGGTGCCAGCTAGATGTTGGGGTTCAAACAGATGGGAGACAGGCATCTGGACAGCTGGCATTCACTGCCTTTCAAAAACCCTTTACACCAACCACCTCTTCACCATATCCCCATTCTGTCATTCTCGCCTTTGCACTGTTTCCCCCCCACCCCCCCTTTTCTTTTCTTCTCACAGCCTTAAGCCTGCCTGCGAGATCTAAAATAATAAAAGTAATTATGAAATAACCCTAAGTGGGATTTTATGCGCAAACACATTTGGAAGCGAGTATAGACGAGCAAGGAAATTGGACCCATTTATGAGGTTTAATTCTCGTGCAAAAAGCAGGTCAAAGTTCTCGATTCATCTATACGAGCGCTTTGTCTCTGCGGGTGTACGTCTGCACGTGTAATGTGAACACCAGACCAGCAAATTTAACTGGGTCAGGCATCTCTATTTGATGAGCATAAAGCGCACCTTACCAGTTAATGCCAGTCTTCCTTTTGCTTACTCTTTCCTTCCCTGTCACACTTCCAGTCTCGCTTGTCAGATTCAAGTCAGTGTAGCTTATTATATCGGAGCATTTTACAAAATCATCTATTCACTTGCATTTACGTATTCAAGGTACTTGTGATTGCTTTGGCATCGCTATACTTACACTAAATTCTACTTGGCAGCCCCTCAAGGATTTTGAGTTTCAGTGATTGCTGTGACTGCAAAAAAACCTGCCTCATTTTGTGGGAGAAAATGCATGGCACACGGCCACTTTCTCCCGAGTTTATTTGGAGTAAAAACAAGAGCACCACCAAAAAAAAAAGAACTTAATTAAACAAAACAAGTTATTAAGATAATTTTTAGATGACAAATGCTTTCTTTCGAGTGTTCTTTATAGTGACACCGTGATGAGTGTCTTTTTTTTTGTGCTGTCTGTCAAAAAAGGTCTCATACGCAAACATGTAACATCCATTTTTTCCCCCCTTCATAATAGCATAACTGTAAAATGTCTAGTTCCCTGCAAGGCTAACTGTGATCACTTGACTTGTCCTGATCAGG